GATGATGATGCTGATGATGATGATGATGATGATGATGATGATGATGATGAGGATGAGGATGAGGATGACGCTGAGGAGGATTATCATGCCTTTGACAAGTAGGACGCTGGAGAGGATAAGAAGGATGCTGGGACGAGGGAGTGGGATAAGGAGGATGAGGAGTAGGGGAAGTAGGAGGATGAGGTACGTGAGGATGACGGGTACGATCGGGGAGGAACGCAAGGGGAGGGAGGAGAAGGGAATAGAGATCAGCGAGCAGGGGGGATGAGGAAAGAGGGGGAAGGCTGAAGGTAATAGTGGGAATCATCGAGGGAGGATGAAGAGCAAGGATGAGGGAGGAGAGATGATGAGGGAGGATTCGGAGGAGGTCCCCCAAAAACTTCTCCTGGGATGCGTTCGAGCCAGAATTGCGTAGTGGATCCACCCGTAGACGCGAAAGTACCCCAGGTGATAAAATAGAAGCATGTGTTAAGGCAGGTTGATTCGCGAGGGTCCCGTTTTCGGTTGCTTATGCGAGTCATCTTGTAAAGCAGTACATCGGGCACTTCAGTTTTGCAACGCAGAGTCTCATGCGTCGGTCTTGGCTATGAGGCGGACTCGCAGGTCTTCGCCGACTGCTGACGCAGCTTGCGCCCTGCAGGTATCCAGGCTGATTCTTTGAATGGCCGCCGGGACAGCAGTCTCACTTCAAGGGCCCGACCCTGGTTTACGAGGCGCTGTGCGCTGAACCTCCTGCGGGCTAACAGGGTAAACCCTGCGTGATGTGCGGCGTCCTGGCGGCTCTCTAGGCTTCGGGCGTTCCCAGGAGGTTTACAGACCACGCACTTGTAACCCAGGGTAGGGTCCTTTTTTGCATCCCTCATCACTGATGCTTCGTGGAAGCCCCGCTGCAACGTTGAGTGGGAGGTCCTGGCAGGGCTGCGGACGCCCACCAAGGCACGCGGGCCCCTTGCCTCGACCGCCTGAGCGATGGCGTCGACGTCGTCGTCGTCGTCGTCGTCGTCGTCGTCGTCGTCATCGTCGTCATCTGCCGTCGTCTGTCATCCGTCGTCCGTCGTCCGCCGTCGCCGTCGTCCTTCGTCCGTCGTCTGCCAGCCTGGATCGACCGCGCCCTGACCCGGCCCCCAGTCATGTGCACTAGCCTCCGAGCCGCCCAGGCCCAGCGGTGTCGACTGCGTTCGGCGCTGCACTCGGGGCCCCCCCCTTCGCTCATCAATGCTGCTCAGCAAGCCGTGTGCGAAGTCTTGTGCACAATAGACAGCGGACAACATGGATTAGCGGAGCGGCCCTGGGTGCCAAGCAGAACGATTGCGGAGCACTCGACGAGGGCTTGGGTCCGTGTCACGAACCCATGGGCGCAGCCTTCAGTCGGGCGTGTCCCTCTATAGGAGGAATATTCCGACATAGTAAAAAACATAGTCTGGGGACGATGTTTGGACCATGTTGTACCATCTTGGAACATGTTTTGACTATTTTTGTTATTGTCCTGCCAGAATCCGCCTGCAGGCGGACATGCCCGACCTAATGGAGGATGACGATTAATAAATGACCGGGGGTCGTGTTCACGCGGCGGCGCCTGGGATGACGATTAGAATCAAACCGGCCGCGGGCTGGAACACTGTTCTTTTTAATCGTTCTCCTCCCGTCAGAAAACTGTGCCGAAGTAGCAGGAAACTATTTGTTTCATCGTTCTCTCTCTCAATTTTTATTAATCGTCATCCCGCATTAAGTGCAGCCCCCTGGGTCCGTCTCGCTCATCCATGGATCCACGGCCCCGTCCGCCTGGACGGCGGCCGTCAGGGCGTGGGCCGAGCCGCCAGGGGAGTCCGGCCGTTCGGGTCGGCGCGGCTTGGCGGGCACGCGCTGGCGGCGCGTGGCCGCGGTCACAACTCGGGCCGGGCGAAAGGGGGGGATTGGGAAAGGGGGGGGGTACGAAATCTGCTGCATGCAGCTGGTTTCGGCCCCACCGAGGGGCCCATTCCTCGATACATGGCCGCCTCCCGGCGCCGGTAGGCGCTGGGAAAATCAGCTACGTGAGCTGATTCTCAAAACCCCTATTTGCTATCCCCCCCCTTCGCCCGACCCGAACAACAGAGATTGGACATGCCTCCAGAAATCCCCGAACCACTTTGTGCCGATTGCAACCAACCGAGATGAAAGCACAGCGCACCGGGAATCTGATGGCATCGTTGGGGCGTTCCGCCATCGGGTGGACGTGTCGATCTGTACCCCCCCCCGTGTTGATGAGTGTCCCTCTCCGTACTCGGGTCGCAGATCCAGGGATTATTAATCCATGTTAGCATCTGCCTGAAAGTAGGACTAGGGAGGCTGAGGGATGATGAAGGAGGAGGAGGAGGAGGAGGAGGAGGAGGAGGGGGAGGGGGAGGAGGAGGAGGAAAGGAGGAGGAGGAGGAGGGGGAGGAGGAGGAGAGGAGGAGGAGGAGGAGAAGTAGAAGGAGGACGAGGAGGAAAAGGAGGAGGAGGAGGAGGGGAGGAGGAG